TGTTCCTCCTCTCTCTCTCTCTCTCTCTATCTCTCTCTCTATCTCTCTCTCTCTCTCTCTCGCTCTCTCTCTCTCTCTCTCTCTCTCTCTCTCTCTCTCTCTCTCTCTCTCTCTCTCTCTCTCTCTCAGACTCAATCCAAGACAGTGAAGAAGCCAGTGAAGAAAAAGACCACGACTAACAATGCAGAGACGCCGCCATGAGGCCTGATCCATCCAGCGGCCGACTCTCTCCAACGCATATACACTGTATATATATATCAAGCACTGAAAATGTGTCACTCTTGCAGTTTTTAGAGCAAAGTGCAGGTACACTGTCTGTGGGCACCCTTGGGTTGGGAGCAGTTCTTTAACATTGGCTCGGTTGTTGCACATGTTTTCCTCACGCTTTGCTTACTGTGAGCTCATCCCAGATTCAACAGGCGGCCATGTTTTTTAGACAAGTTTTTAGTCTGATAATGTTTAGGCATAGGCTACATTTAATTAATGCTCCTTTTTTCTTTTACCCCTACACACATCTGTCTGTCCCTGCAGAGCGTTAGCTGCCCATGTTGCAGTTTTCCAGTCTCATTGATTCACCTCCTGTTGCTCTCATCGTGGCATTCTCAATAGAGGCTGATTTTGGGTGAAGTAACTCCAGTAAATACTACATTCTTTCTCCTTCCTCACTACAATTGGCGCCATTTTGTGTCTTCTGGGTTACTCCTGAATGGTTCTAGTTTAAAAAAGAACTCTCAAGTCTGGGTCCTCATCTGTACTTGACCATGATAGAAATCCTGAGTTGTTGTTTTCGGTGATCACCAGTTGGCTTTAAGTTTACATGCCTGAGTTTTTTTCTTTTTAACTGAGGGGAAAGAAGTTGGTTGAAACATCCTCATTGCTGTTTCACACGTAAAGGTCGCCACTTATAACTACAGCTCTACTCACCCCCCATGTCCTAGCTTATGCAATTGTCTTGCTTTACTGGAGGACTTTGATCAAAACTGTTTTGGTTCTCTATTTTAACTTCTTGCATATTGGGCATCTCAGCTTGAGGAAGAGTTCAGCTTCCCTGCAGCGGCCTGTTTACCTCCTGAGTGAGTCTGACTCTGCTAAGTTAACGTCTCGCTCTCAGCAACTTGCTTCCTCACTGCTTTAATGTGACTTTCATCTCATACAGTACTGCTGATGGAGTGGTTTGTTTAGTGTCGGCTTAGTTATCCTGCATATAGACTCCACCCTGTTATTTAACACACTTCTGTTCTTTTGGTCATAAGATGTTGGCACTCTGCCTCGTTGTAATATCTATATCATAACCAGGATTAAGCGAAGCAATATGGAAATAATTGAACCACAATCAACATCAGGAGACAGAGGAATTTGTTTCTGATCCCCGTGCTGTTGTTCCAGATGTGGAGGAAGTGTCAGACCAGGCTCCAGGTGTTTCTCAACATACTGGACTTGTGTTCTGTGGTGGGCTCTTCTGGTTGCCAGCCACTGCCTTTATGGTGGTTTCTTCCAAGAGCTCTAATGAGAGATTTAAAAGCATGATACTACTTCTGCACTCAGCACTGCTGTCTGCGGAGTAACACTAGTCTGAACCCCTAGGGGGAGACAAACCCCACCTCAACTGCTGGCAGAGTTAATAAATAAGATGTGAACACAATGTAAATAATAATCTTCACAGTATAAGCTTGCTTGCCTTACTCATTCTCTGGGCTTAAAAACATTTAATGTTTTAATAATTTGTTTGCTTTTTTTAATTCTTACTCTTGACCAATCTTATGTTTTGAAACGTGAAGAAGCTGGAACTCCAGTGTGGACTTCTGGTGTTAGACGTCTTGATCTTTGTATTTAGGTTTTGTATATTTAACATGTTTTTTTGTATTTTCTTGTTGTTTTTAACTTCTCTTCATCACAAAGTAAGAAATAACAGACGGAGTATAAACTGATGTTTGCACATATCGTGCTAGTACTCTACTCAGACCGGTTCTTAAGTATTTAGGACCAACAGTCTGTTTACAACAAACAAAATACATGATTTCTTATCAGGATTCAACCCTTTGTTTTTATCTTGTGTCCATGCCATTTGCAGAAATGTGTTAATTTATTTCCTCTGTTTGAAATCAATCCTGTAAACAGGGATTTTCATTTGTATATGGTTTGTGCCAATTCTTAAAGCTCCATGTGAAAAATAATTACAATGTGTGCTGAGACAATGGTATCTGACAAGGTCATGTATCAGTAATGAAACTACTAATAAAGGAAATCAAATCAGAGGGTCACTATCTTTTGTGCTGTTGAAAACAATCCCTGTGTAGCTGGAGGAAGGAGCAACCTCCATATATATGCGCTTTGAGCACCAGGAAAAGTGCTTTATAAATGTAATGTATTATTATTATTATATATCTTGATTTATTAAACAATCTAAATACCACTTTTGTAATGTAACGCAGTGCTCAGATTTTGCGCTGTTGTGTCTGAAGTGAAAGCAACTGGAGAATGACTTGAATTGGTTCTGAAAAAAGTCATAGTGCAGGCATCTTAATGTCAAAAAACACAGTAACTCAAAAGTATAGAAAATCATAGTGTAGTTTTTAAAAACTATAAAATACCATAAAAAGGTATAGTATAGCATGTTTAACAAAATTCAAAAGAGTTTGTCGTAGAAAACTGTTAAGTGTGTCCAAAAATATCAGAAAACAAGTCATAGCATATTGTGTTGAAAAAGGTCAAAATATAGTCTTTTCAAAAATATTTAAAGCTATGGTATTTGTGGGAGAAACTTCTGTGTAGCAATGCAGTGGGAGTCACCGACTCATGAAGGAGACACGGGAAGAGCAGGAGCTTTGATGTCAAACACTGATGGTTTATTAGGAGCTTCGGCCGGAGGATTCACATCACAAGTCACAGAGCCAGAGGTTCTGACTTCACGGGAGAGTTGCCACATCAATTCTGAAGAGCCTCTCTCTTGCTAGACCTTTTAACTGGTTCACAGAGAGTAATCAACATATTTGAGGAGATAGCCTAAACAGCTGGGAACACTGAATTACTTGCGTCTGACCCTCATGGCCTCGAAGATTACACACCTTGGAGTCCACAAACACCGAGAAGGAAGTGTTCCAGCGTTCTCACAACAATAAACCATTTGTGACCGAGAGTTGCCCGGTCAGAAACTGGGAACAACAACATATGGCTGAAGCAGCCCCTTTCCTTAAGGGAGATAACAGACGTCAGGGTTGGTCATAAACGTCAAAGGGCAAAAAGGTTAGATAACTAGGAGTCCAGGAGAATGATTCCCTAACAGTATTGTATTTTGAAATGTATCCAAAACAGATATCTGAGTAGTATCTGCAAAATAATGTCAATGTGTTGAAAAATATCTTGAAAATCATGCCGGTTTGACGAAAATAGTCAAAGCATATTATGTGAAAGATATAAGTGTATCTTGGCGAAAAAAATGAAATGAATGTATTTTGTACAATGCCATAGAATATCATAGTATGTTGTGAACATAATACAAAATCATACTATACTATGATCCTATGATCATACATTACATTGTTCAACATAGGCCTACTATACTATTATAGTATGTTGAAAAATGTAAAGTCAAAGTATAGTATGTTGAAACATTCCGAAATAAGTCATGGCATTGTATTTGAAATAAAATCATAAGAAGGCATGTTATGTTGAATAAAAATCACAAAGTAGTATCACACAAATGTTAGGATCATCCTATACCATGACTTTTTAACATTTTTGTGATACTACATTTATTAGGACGTCATAAAATGATGAAAAATAAATCATAGAAAAGTATGTTGGAAAAAATCATTAAAAGTCTTAGTATATTGAGTTGAAGAATTAATTGTAGAGTATGTCAAAAGATGTCAGAAAAAGGTGATATAATTGAATGTCTGAAAAAAAAGTCAAAGTATAGAATGTGGAAAGATATCATAGAAAATGTTACTGTCGTGTTTCATGAGATATCTGAGAAAAGGTCACAGCATGACTTTCCATTTAGATGACGCTTTTATCCAAAGCGACGTGCAATACTAGCAAATTGTATAATATTTTTAAAAAAACATCATAGTATATATAAGTAAGACATAGTAGTATGTCAGAAATATGTTTACATTACATGCTGTTAGACACTTTTATCCAAAGCGACTTACATACTCAATACTGTGGGCAATCCCCACAGGAGAAGGTGAAGTGTCTTGCCCAGGGACACAACGACATGCTGACTGCAGTGGGGTTTGAACCTGTGCTTCCCTGATCCAAACACCAACGCACTAGCCCACTACGCCCCACACCTCCCTTTAAAACATGTTTTATAGTATAACATGTCAAAAAAGTAATTGTAGAGTATATCAAAAATATCCTAAAATGTCTAAAAGTACATTATGTTGAGAAAATTCATAGTAGAGTATTTGAAAATAGAGCATAGTAAAAAAAGACATAGTATATTATGTAAACAAAAAGTCAAAGTTTAGTGTTTAAACAAAAACTCATAGAACAGCATGAGATAAAACAATTAAAGTATAGTTTGTCAGAAAACAATATCATAGTATAATATGGAAACAAATATCACACGAAAAAAATAAAACAACTTTATACCAAAAATGAAAACACCTCTAAACTTCTCAGAAATCCCACCTGTGCAGGCGCATCAGAGGCAGAGATATTTTCCTGTGACAAAGACGCACAACGACTGAATGGTTGTTCCCTTCCCCTTCTTCTATATGATTAGGTAACATAAAGGAACAAGTATAGTTCAAACTACTTTGTCCTGTCCAATTCTGCATTATTTCATTCAACTCATTTTGGCAGGAGATCCAGTTGCTGATTTTGGGGTATAGTCAAATGTGGATTATGTCCTTCCTGCCTTTACTCCATCCACCCTCTGTCTCTTTGTCCATTTCTTTGTCCTCGCCTACTTACGTGTCTCGTTCATGTCCACACACCTGTTGAACCGGCAGGGACATTTAGTTGCTAATGAGGGAACAAAGCCAACACAGTTTCAATGTGAGTTTTTATTATTTATTTTATTTAAGAGCTCAGGACAGATGCAGACAACAAACATCCAGACAAACACTTGAGTTCAAAAATAATTAGAGCACTAATTACAATTGGAACCCAACGTTATTATATTATCAAATTTAAAAAAAGCATCCCTCCAAAACCTGTACCAATAGTAATAATTCATCACAGTCTGAATGCCATTGAGTGTTTCAAAAAAGCCCCAAAACCTTTGTTTAACTACAAAAGGTTAAGGTCAATGTTTTGTTAAATTCAAATATATTTTTTTTTACATATTTCAAAATATAGTAATGACAATAAAAATACATTTTGTGTCACATAATAAATTGTGATCAAAATGAAGTATTCATCACTTGAACATAATCTCCCTCCTCCACCTCAGCGCCCGGCGGGACCTGGTTAATCTGGAAGTAGCCGCTGTCACCCAGATCCAACCTAAGATCTCGGACAAAGAGTTTGACTTCTGCATTGTTGAAATCTGATGTTATTTTTTCTATAATGAGAGACATTGAACTATGGTTAACCAATGTTTTCCAATTATTTTTAAAAGTTTTAATGATTTGTTTATGGACCTTTTTGGGAAATTTGAGTGAGTCAATGTATCTCAAACCACGCTTCAAATGCTGACATTTTTTCAGCCCTTCCTTTGCCTTTTCCTGAAGTTTACGGAGAGTAGATTTAATACGTTTCTTGAGTGTTTCTTTTCTGTTAACCTTTCCGATAAGACGGAATATAGCCTTATTATCTTGTCTGAATTTGTTGTCCAGTTTAAAGCGATGTTCCTTGCACAAGTCAACATATGGATGAAAAGCACTGCTGGTTCTTGAGACGTCAGAATACAGGAGACCTTTAAAGATATCTGGTCCACTTAGTCCCCAAGGCTTTTTGAAAAACACTCTAGTCTTAATGCCAAATTCACTGTACCATTGATAGGCTTTCTCTAAAAGATGTAACATACAGGGCTCTTTATCTTTATCTTTCTTATCTATCTTATGTCCTCTCATCAAACATGGACTATAAAGGGTGAACATATACATGTTTTTAACTTCAGTTCGACATCTCTGCAAAGTCTCATCTATATTTGTGCATGAGACTCTCTCTGTGTGTGTAGTGGCAGATCTTCGATATTTCACATCCAACAACTGATTTTCACCACTTTTAATTTCTATAGCACCAAATGAATATTGATTATCCTGTTCCATAAGATGGGGATTTAAGAATGATGGCATGGGCGCATAAATACTGAATCCTTCTTCTATAGCGGAATAACATTTCAGTACATGATCAAAAAGTAAGTTATTGTCAGAAAATGTTATTAGTTTCTTATAATTATTCATGGTCCTTGGTATACGATCTTCCTGATGATGCTGTTTTTCCCTGGAAAATAAATATAAAGGTTTTACTTTATTCACAGGACTAAACAATATGCTTAAGATTGTTATTTGACTTTTAGTACAAAAATGCTCCATGTAATGAATTCATAAAGCATATTGTCAAAAGCTAACAGATTGTCAATGGCTGATTTATCTTTGCTAAGTGTGCTAAAGGGCGATGTGTTGGATTGAAGATCTCTTCTTGTTGTGAATAGAAACAAACTATATATATATATATATATATATATATATATATATATATATATATATATATATAATGCTATATACTGGAGTTCAGTACAATAACACAGTTGCGTAAGTTTACTTTCACATGTTTTGTATTGAGATCTGCAGAAGGTTTAGACAAAGATAAATAAAAAAAAGCTGTTAAATATCAAGTTGTGGTGACATGTTAAGTCTCTTTCTGTATCTTGAATGCAGACTGATCAATGTTAGAGAAAAATAAATATTAAAGTTCGATTGACTCATTCGACCCACTGAAAGCTGTATTTTTACATTTACCTGACTCAGTTCCATGGGACCCAATACCTAGTAACTACTACTTAACTAGTTTCAGTTAATACAGCATTTTATTTCTTAGACGATACCTTTGGGGCGAGGAGGGTTCTGGCTCGGGGGAAGTGGATGAAGACATCTCTTCACTCTCAGGCACTTGTGGAACTTGTTTTCTGCTTCTGTCCGTCTGAGTGGAAAAAACAAAATGTTACCATCTTCTGATGTTAAATCTTTATTGTCCATCCATCCATCCATCTTCTCCCGCTTATCCGTGGTCGGGTCGCGGGGGTAGCAGTTCCAGCAGAGAGCCCCAAACTTTATTTTCCCTGGCGACATCAACCAGCTCTGACTGGGGGATCCCAAGGCGCTCCCAGGCCAGCGAATAGATATAATCCCTCCACCTGGTCCTAGGTCTACCCTTTGGTCTCTTCCCAGCTGGACGTGCCTGGAACACCTCCCTAGGGAGGCGCCCAGGTGGCATCATAACTAGGTGCCCGAACCACCTCAACTGGCTCCTTTCGACGCGAAGGAGGAGCGGCTCAACTCCGAGTCCCTCCCTGATGACCGAACTTCTCACCTTATCCCTAAGGGAGACACCAGCCACCCTGCGGAGAAAACCCATCTCGGCCGCTTGTATCCGCGATCTCGTTCTTTCGGTCATGACCCATCCTTCATGACCATAGGTGAGGGTAGGAACGAAAATGGCCCGGTAGACAGAGAGCTTTGCCTTCTGGCTCAGCTCCCTTTTCGTCACAACGGTGCGGTAAAGCGACTGCAGTACCGCTCCCGCTGCTCCGATTCTCCGGCCCATCTCACACTCCATTGTTCCCTCACTCGAGAACAAGACCCCGAGATACTTGAACTCCTTCACTTGGGATAAGGACTCATTCCCTACTTGGAGTGGACAGTCCATCGGTTTCCTGCTGAGAACCATGGCCTCAGATTTGGAGGTGCTGATCCTCATCCCAGCCGCTTCACACTCGGTTGCGAACCGATCCAGTGAGTGTCTTTATTGTCATTAGTGGAAAACACGTCTGTTAGGAACGGCTGAATGCTTTGCCTGTGGTATTGCTGCATGCACATTTGAGGTAGTGCTTCATTTTCTAAAGCTTCCTGCATTTTAGTTTCAGTTAAACAAAGACCAACCTACAGTATGCAGGCGCAACAGTCTCGCACAACATTGTGCTTTAGTTTGAGCCCTGTATGTCAACAAGTAAAGCTGAGCAAAACTGTTCAAATTGAAATTGTTCAGTAAATTATTTTTTTTAAAGTTTTGTTTCTGGAATGAAATCAAATAAAAAGATATGTGTCTTACTTGTCCAGTATATTAATACAATGCTGTTTTCATTTTATTTTTTATCAATGGGTCACATGGCATGGAAACGGAAACGGAAATGATCTTCTATTCAAATGTTTCTGTAAAGTTTGATAAGCAGTTACAGGAAAAGCATTTGATAGCAATGAAATGCTTAGATCTGTAGCTCTTCCCATCAGTGCTCAAACAAATATGTATAATAATAGATAACGTAAGTAAACATTTGAATTTAAGGCATAATATAGTGCAGAGGCTTAAGTAAATTAAAATAAATGTGCTAAACAGATGTACTGCAATTTCAATATATATATATAAATAAAATAATGCAAAGTAACCTTACCTGCATGGTGAGAGGGTCTAAACTCTTCTGGAGAAACAAAGAGACAGAACAGTTAGGTGGTAAAAATGTAAAAGTAATGGCTAGTAATGGCTTTTTGCGTTTGATTAGTTTTAGGCTTATCATAACAGAACTTTATAGGCCAGTTTTTCAAAGTTACACGGAGAATATACAAACAAAACACAATTCATGTAGAGAAACAGAAAATGTATTGAAAATGTTCCGACTCACCAGATTTGGGTCTGAGACCGGCCCATGCAGGGGCTGGCAGTCGTCGTGACCAAAAGAAACATTTGCATCAAACTGGCCGATTGGATTTAAGTGAGTGTTTATTTATCACCTTCCGCCAGCCCCTGCTTTGGAATTTTTTTTAATTTTCCTTTTACTCCTTCACTTCTAATTTCGGTTACTGATTGGGTTTTGTAAGAATTACTATCCATTTGTTTTCAAAGAAACTGTCTGAAGTGGCTGCTTATAAACCCTCCCTTAGCCAATCGTTGTGACCAATCTTTGGTCGCCATGCCCAGTTTGCTTACGTATGCAGAGGTGTGGGAGCCTGATGTTTCTTATAGGTTTCACTTTCGTTTTTCTTCAAAAGGTGTGTAAAATGAGACTTTCCTGAATCCCAAGGGGCAAAGGCAAAGCAGACAATTGACATACATTTAGTTTATTTATTTATGTACCTGTATTTCTCTTTCAAAGCACTCACTTTGTATGTTAACTTCCTGCCAGTAACTGATACAACTTAAAAAAGAAAATTACAAAAACAATCCCAATATTTCAGAAAATATAAGGACTGTTTTCAGAGCTGGAAGAAGTACTCAGCATGACCGTATCTACCATTGAGGTCACCGAGGTCCGGACCTCGGTAATATTTTCCGAGCTGTGTATAACAAAACTTGTGAAATAATTGCACTAAACAGGGTTCTTTGTAGTACTTCCATTTACTGACCATGGGGGCGCTGCATAACTACGTAGCCTCGATTAAAGCAAACAGAAGAAGACGACATGTATCAACAAACCACCGCAGCCCGGACTTGTATCGGAGCAGCGGAGGAGTGATGAAGTATCTAGATATCTGAGTCCAGCGGGCTGCTTGTGTTTCTGTTCATCAGGACATCATATGACCAGCAGATCCTGTGTGAACGCTATACGTTAGTCAGTGGACGTCCGACAACATGCACACACTAACTTATATTGCAGCTATACTTTGGTTTAAATTGCGTGAATAAACTAGCTAGAGAGCTAAAGTTAATTACGTTCATCCAATGTCAGAAGGATTACCTTTTAACAAACGTTGTAATGCTTTTCTTCATTTCAATTTGAGTAAAACATTGAAGATATAACATTGTATTGTTTTCTTTTTACACTGACTCAGATATAACGAAAAGACTACGTCAGTCGAAGCTCAGCTTTGGTAAGGAAGAGACAGGACAGGCAGAGAGAAAGAGAGAGAGAAAGTGATGGAAGTCAGAGAGGAACTGGAGTCACACAAAATAATGTAGGCTTAATAAGCCCATCTATTTATCTATCTATTTATCTATCTATGTATCTATAACAATAGTCTTCATTTACAATAGGCATAATTTTAAAACATACATCTATTGCAGTTATGATGTCATAATAACATACAATTGTATAAAACACAATTTGCTTACATCTTTGTTCTCTTTTGAGAATCAAACAAAACAGATTTAAATAAAAAAAGAATGCAAACAAACAAGTGAAATTAACTAAATAGCTGAATTGCTTTTGATTCACTGGCAGGAGCGACAAATGAGGAGGAGCAAACAGTGAACAACGAGGGAGAGATTGAACAAAAAGAAAGAGTAGAGGACAGAGAGAGTAATGAACAGGAAGAAGACAGAGAGACTAAAGAAGATGGAAGAGAGGCTGCAGGTTATGGAAAGGAGAGAGACATGGGAAATTAATGTTGACAATGTGTTGTGATCATTTTAGCCTCTTCTGCATGTCCAGATCATTAATAGTAACAATCAACTGATTCTTATGTATTACACTTTAAAAATAATTGATGCTGACATTGTTAACCCACTGACATGGTTTGAAATCAATATATTATCCAATGTGTGACCCCCCACAGGACTTAAAAAGCACCTAACTAGATCATGAAAATCCCAAAAATCTCGGGGGGTATCCCCCGAACCCCCCTAGCATGTTTGGACCTCGGTATATAGGAAATCCTGGATACGGCTCTGGTACTCAGATTGTGTTTTTAATTAAAAGTAGAAGAACCAGAGTGTAGGAATACTCTGTTACAAATAAAAGTCCTGCATTCAAAATGTTACTCAAGTAAAAGTACAAAAGTATCAAAATATAAAAGTACCAAAAGTAAAAGTACTTAATATGCAGATTGGACCATTTCAGAGTAATATATATGATATGATTTTATTATAATAACCCTTATCAACGCTGGTAAAGGTGCAGCTAGTTTTAATGACTTTGCATGCTGCAGGAGAGCTGGATTTACTCCAGGTCTGATTTAAGATTTGATTATATTTATCCAAATCTATCAGGTAACTAAAGGTATTGAATGAATGTAGTGGAGTAACAGTACAAGATTTACCTCTGAATTGTACAAAGTAGCAACAAATGGAAATACTCAAGTACTTCACAATTGTACTTAAGTACAGTATTTGAGTAAATGTACTTAGGTACTTTCCACCACTGACTGTTTTCACAACCAAGTCCAAGTCAATTATATTCAAAATGTGTTACCCTAACAACCTTCCATTAATGTTATATTTATGAATGAGAACCAATAATGTAAAAGCATTTGAGTCTAAAGATGCGAATCAAAATAGACTATCTTCACGATCACTAATTATTTTCAAGCCCTATCCCTTTTCTTTTCCAACTTCAAAATCAAGCAGCTGACTAAATGAGGTTTGCTTCTTTAACTTAACAAATAAATCAGATGTTGCCACAACAACTGTGAGCCAATCATCTCTTTCCTGTTGTTGTGCTTGTCAATGTTGGATTTGATTAGATTTCATTATTGGGGGAATACATTAGTGACCAACTGCCACCTGGGGAATCTCACCCCAAATACCAATAGCCTTAATCAACAAATAATATAAACAGGTTCAGTGAACCAGTTTTAACAGATACAGTGGGGCAAAAAGTATTTAGTCAGCCACCAATTGTGCAAGTTCTCCCACTTAAAAAGATGAGAGAGGCTTGTAATTTTCATCCTAGGTATACCTCAACTATGAGAGACAGAATGGGGGGGAAATAATCCAGAAAATCACATTGTCTGATTTTAAAAGAATTTATTTGCAAATGATGGTGGAAAATAAGTATTTGGTCAATAACAAAAGTTCATCTCAATACTTTGTTATATACCCTTTGTTGGCAATGACAGAGGTCAAACGTTTTCTGTAAGTCTTCACAAGGTTTTCACACACTGTTGCTGGTATTTTGGCCCATTCCTCCATGCAGATCTCCTCTAGAGCAGTGATGTTTTGGGGCTGTCGCTGGGCAACACGGACTTTCAACTCCCTCCAAAGATTTTCTATGGGGTTGAGATCTGGAGACTGGCTAGGCCACTCCAGGACCTTGAAATGCTTCTTACGAAGCCACTCCTTCGTTGCCCGGGCGGTGTGTTTGGGATCATTGTCATGCTGAAAGACCCAGCCACGTTTCATCTTCAATGCCCTTGCTGATGGAAGGAGGTTGTCACTCAAAATCTCACGATACATGGCCCCATTCATTCTTTCCACATGTTTCACAGTATAGGTATGGTATTCTTTGGATGCAACTCAGCATTCTTTCTCCTCCAAACACGGCTAGTTCTATTTTGGTTTCATCTGTTCATATGACATTCTCCCAATCCTCTTCTGGATCATCTAAATGCTCTCTAGCAAACTTCTGACGGGCCTGGACATGTACTGGCTTAAGCAGGGGGACACGTCTGGCACTGCAGGATTTGAGTCCCTGGCGGCGTAGTGTGTTACTGATGGTAGCCTTTGTTACTTTGGTCCCAGCTCTCTGCAGGTCATTGACTAGGTCCCCCCGTGTGGTTCTGGGATTTTTGCTCACCGTTCTTGAGATCATTTTGACCCCACGGGGTGAGATCTTGCGTGGAGCCCCAGATTGAGGGAGATTATCAGTGGTCTTGTATGTCTTCCATTTTCTAATAATTGCTCCCACAGTTGATTTCTTCACACCAAGTTGCTTACCTATTGCAGATTCAGTCTTCCCAGACTGGTGCAGGACTACAATTGTGTTTCTGGTGTCCTTTGACAGCTCTTTGGTCTTGGCCATAGTGGAGTTTGGAGTGTGACTGTTTGAGGTTGTGGACAGGTGTCTTTTATACTGATAACGAGTTCAAACAGGTGCCATTAATACAGTTAACAAGTGGAGGACAGAGGAGGCTCTTAAAGAAGAAGTTACAGGTCTGTGAGAGCCAGAAATCTTGTTTGTTTGTAGGTGACCAAATACTTATTTTACCGAGGAATTTACCAATTAATTCATTAAAAATCCTACAATGTGATTTCCTGAATTCTTTCCCCCAATTCTGTCTCTCATAGTTGAAGTGTACCTAGGATGAAAATTACAGGCCTCTCTCATCTTTTTAAGTGGGAGAACTTGCACAATTGGTGGCTTACTAAATACTTTTTTGCCCCACTGTACATCATAATAAACTGTGTGTGTATAGATTGAGCTTGTTAATGCAAAGGAAGTGGTAAGGACTGCTAGAAGGAAACTTTGGGAAAAATCCCCAAATGATGTAAAAGAAATATACTATAAATATCAAATACCCACAGTTAGGCGGCTTTTTAATATTATTTTACAGCCCATGATTGTTGAACAGCCTAAAAAAGACCAGAGGACCTGCTTTTAATTGATATGTGTACTAAATCCAAGACCAAACTGGTTTTCACCTTGGCCAGTATGTTTTTTCAAGTAAATTCGAACCGCACCCATTGCATCATACTTTTGAGGAAACAAAGTGAGAGGAGTATTAAACGTCACACTCTGAATTCACTTGGCTGTTTCATTTAGTTTTTTAACCAGCGTGATCTGCGTGTAGGGAGGGGCGGGCGTGTCTGCATGTCCTTATCTTTCAAACCTTATGTTCTTACTTTGCAATGCAGGTCTTTTGATAAAAGTGTATATTCTCAAGTGGAAAGGGGTTACATTACACTTTGTCCTACAAATGTTTGCTCTGTTTCCCATTCACTTCAGTCAGGGTTATTTTCAGACCAGACAAGACTCTGTGTGATTTCTAAAACCCTTTGTCTCACCCAACTCAGGTTGAACCGTTTGAGCTGCTATCCATTTTTATATTGAATAGTTGTGTCTCTTTCCTTTTGTAGTTGTTAAATCAACTGTTAATTTGACCTGTTCCTCCTCTCTCTCTCTCAGACTCAAACCAAGACAGTGAAGAAGCCAGTGAAGAAAAAGACCATGACTAACAATGCAGAGACGCCGCCATGAGGCCTGATCCATCCAGCAGCCGACTCTCTCTCCAATGCATATACACTGTGTATATATATCAAGCACTGAAAATGTGTCAGTCTTGCAGTTTTTAGAGCAAAGTGCAGGTACACTGTCCCTTTTCTTTTCTAACTTCCAAATCAAGCAGCTGACTAAATGAGGTTTGCTTCTTTAATTCAACAAATACATAATATTTTGTCCCCAACAACTGTGAGCCAATCATCTCTTTCCTGTTGTTGTGCTTGTCAATGTTGGATTTGATTAGATGTGATTATTGGGGGAATACATTAGTGACCAACTGCCACCTGCGGAATCTCACCCCAAATACCAATAGACTAATGCCCCGGCCACACGAGGACGAAAACGGTCGTTTGCGTTACTGTTTAGTGTCATATAGACCGTTAGGCCACACGAGGACGACCGAATACGGCACTAAACGACTGCGTAAATGATAACGGGTCCCAAGGTGGATAGAACGGCATACGCAACACTCTGGGGGGTCCAACGGCTCCGTGTGTACGCCCTATACCAGGGGTGCCCAACCAGTCGATCGCGATCGACCGGAGATTCCCAGTCGATCGCGAGATGTGTCTAAAAATAGAACAACAATATTCTGTTTTATCGTTAATGTCCTGCAACATAATCTTCCTGTGCCAGAATAATGCACTTGAACGCATCAAAGCTTTGTGATTGGCCGGCGTGACCCCATGTGTCGGGGCGTGGCTGGTGAGCAGTGCACTATTTCGCTAAGGTTGTCCGTGTCAACAGGAGTGACAGTCCGCACACACACAAGACCGCAGAAGCAAAACATATATAATTTTCACTCCGAGTGGGAGGATGATTATTTTTGTATCTATTCCAATTCAAAGTGCATCTGTTTTTGATTGATTGATTGATTGATTGAAAAGTTTATTAACAGCTTGTATATTGGGTACAGTACAGTACAGCTCAAAACATACAATTGTTAAGGGGATGCAGACCAGAGAAAGACTTTCGTCTTGTTTACATCAGGGTCCCCCTGTCTCATCTGCAATGCGAGCGTGGCTTTATCGAAGAAGGGTAATTTAGGAGCGGCATTTCAAAACAGTGCACAAACGCTACGAGACGGAATTCCCTCCTAATTCTGCCCTACGCTCCAAAAGGGGAGGGGCCTGAAAGGACAGCTAAATGCACAGCAGTCCATTTTCACCAGGCCCAACAACAAGAGCAAGGCTGCTACCATAGCATCTTATCGTGTCAGTCACGTTCTTGCGAAACACATGAAGTCTTTCAAAGACGGCGAAGTTGTGAAAGAAGCATTCCTGGAGGCTGCCGATGCGTAATAAAAATAACAGAAGCATTTCAACAGGTTTTTGATATGATAAAAACTCAAGTTAGATACCGTTATTAATCAGCTGTAAGTTTGAGTTTGAATTATAATTATTGTACAAAATGCATAAGAATGCAAACTTAAATTGATTATAGTCTATTATCAATTCAGGTTAAGAAACTAGTGTTGCTTGCATCCTATTTTAAAGGCATTTATTTTTATAATCTACTAAAATGCAACAAAAAAGGGTTTGATTATATTAATGTTGTCTTTTGTATTGCACTGTTGCAGCAGATTCCTGTGTAGCTTCAGATCTGAGTTGTCTTATTGGTAAGCCTCATTTATACTTTTGTAGCAACACTATTTTTATATAATGGCAAAGAAAGGGTTCAGAGTCTTTTCTTTTTTTCCTGTGTCATATGTGGCAGCACTGTTCAATGTTTCTTGAATACATTACCCACTTATAACAACACTGTTGTGTAACTTCAGTTAAATACTTGTATGTGTGTAGGATCTGCAGTATTTTATGAAGTATTAATCGTACAAAGGTCAGTTTTATACAAGTAGAAGTGTGTATTTACCTGGTAGTAGGCTGTCAGTAATGGCTACGCCTCTCTATTTGGACTGGTAGATCTCGGCAGACTAGCAACTTTAAAAGTAGCTCTCGGTTCAAAAAAGGTTGGGCACCCCTGCCCTATACGATCATTTTCTGATAATGATGAGGCAATAGCCCCGCCTCTCCCCACCTCTGCTGCTCACCCCCGCGTCAAAGTAAACTGCACACTGAATTCAGATTATTTATCTTTCTCTCGATATGGACCTAAACGCAAGTGAAGTCTAATCTGACAGGACGGAGACACGCAGCTCTGCTTACCTGCAGCTCCTCCCGCTGTGATGCGGCGGTGAACGGAGTAAAACACACATTTCAAGTCAGATCATCACCCTTAGCTATTTTAATTACCTCTCAAACTACCTAAACTAGATATAAATATGTTTATTTTTACTGTCGGCCGGGTCACTCATTACTGGATCAGCTGCTGCATGAAACAGACACTGGCGCTGTCCGAAGAGAGGGAGGAAAAAGAGAGGCTCCGTGTATTTTATTATTATAATATATAGATTCGTTATTCATTTATTTTAAAGCTCAATAAATAACAAAGAAGACCTTTGACCGGCACTTTTATAATTTTGTCGGAAGATTTAAACTTTAATACACGTTGACTGGCGAAAAACTCTGCCCGGTTCCCTCGGCCCCCACCGCGGAGAATAAACAGAAGGGCAATCATGTCAACCATGCTTCTTCGCTGCTTTTGTGGAGGAAGTTACAGCGCCACGTACAGGCTACTCCATATGTACTGCAGCTTCTCCAGCGGTTGCTGCTAAACGGAGCTGTCTCGTGTGGACAGACACTATCCGGATGACTATTGCGTGTGGACGGAAGCTTTTTTGCGATTGCGTTTGCGTTAATCCTATGCGTTTAGCCGTTTTCGTCCTCGTGTGGCCGGGGCATTAATCAACAAATAATATAAACACGTTCAGTGAACCAGTTTTAACAGATGCATTATAATAAACTGGGTTTGTATATATTGAGCTTGTTACAGTTTTTCTCGATTGCTAACACAATTTTTTTTTTAATTGCTCAGTTTCTCAGAACACTAAACACAATTCACAAAACCACACACCCAAAGTGCAAAACACCTCATTTCTCCTGCTAAATGAAGAACTGAACTCAAAACTACATAAACACTTACCAAATGCAAACCTTTCAAATATAACACACTTCATTCATAATACTAGATGGTTTGACCACCCAACTACACACTGCTGAGCATACTCTAAAGCACTTTCACCTGTTATGGGCTATGCTCTGTACAGAGAGGTTTCTGCAGAGACAGATTGCTTGAGTTTACAGAAATACAGTAAATGAAGAAATACAAATTAGTTGTTGAAAGAAATCACATTTTATTCAAAAATCACATTGTGCAACATGCATCTCAGCACATACTGTAGTTACTATGCTTCGGATGTCTCTGTGATGCATTGTTTGCCAAAACCCAGTTTGTAACTGCTGCTTCCTGTGACTCATTGATAATCCTTGGCCTTCCACCTCTTTGTTTCTCAGTCCTTCAGATAAACAACAAAGATATAGTGGTCGGTCAGTGTCTGTGTTGCATAAAATTAAGTTTACCACAGTCCATTGTGCAGGATTTCTGTACAGTTATAGTATGCAACATGTCAACAATTCAATTACAGTAATGAAGTAAATACATTTCACACAACAGATATAAGTACTGATATATCATGAATTATGCAGAGCTGAAAACTGGTAACTAACCTGTTTTCAAGTCTAAGTGTCAGGATTACAGAGGCGACAGTAAATTGGTTTAGATTAGGCTGAACCCTCTGTCCAGCCTCTCTCATCGTCAAACCATGTGATAACATTTCATTTCATTAGAGAGTATTCTTCTTTGTCCACGTCCTCTCCCTCCAGCTCTACCTCTACCTCTCATTCCTCCTCCTCTCACTCTCAGCCCAGCCTAGCCCTTCCTCTTCCTCTTGCTTCCATGTTGGCTTCCATTGTTGCTGTAAGAAAGTTCTCACATGTGGTCTTTTAATAGTGCTAAAATCCTGACTGATGAGCCAACAATTATGCTACCAGGTGTTTGGTCAGGTGGAACGTGTTTCTTGATCATTGGTCCATGTGTGAGGCATTTTGAATATCAGTGTTTTAAACCTGCTAACACGTGACTTTATGTCAGATTCCTGTGTCTTACGTGGAGAAACGTGTGCAGTGGTTTGCAAAAAGTGCCATGTTGATTTGCAAATTGTGTGAAAAGCTGAAAACGTATTTAGAGTTTTTGAGATTTGAGCCGATGTTTTGCTCTTTGAGTGTCAGTTAAAGTAATTGCGTTTTATGTAGAATTTTAGTGTGTTAGCAATCGAGAAAATCTGTAATGCAAAGGAAGTGGAAAGGATTGCTAGAAGGAAACTTTGGGAAAAATCCCCAAATGCAACACACTCTCACTCCCTAAGCGTCCAGGAGCGACGTTTGGTCAGTGTCTGTGGCGTCCAGTTGTGACGCTCCTAGGCTCCTTCAGTGTCATAAAGGGACGCAAATAGCTTTCAACTGATTGCAATGTATTCCCATCTGCGGCGGGATTTGACGCGCATGGAAGCACGGCATTCGTTTGTGTCGGCTGCCCTTAAAGGCAATGTGAGCGTCCATTCCCATTGGATAACGGAGAATTGTACACCCGGAAGTAAGTATTCCTCTTACTGTCGATTGATTTTACAGTGATATCTGCACTACTCATTGACTAAAAAACACCAGATTATCCTTGTTAATTACACAACATTGATTGGTTTAAATTGTGTGCAATGCTTTTGTATTTTTCCCCTTCGATTCGGAGAAACAAATATTTTTTCGGAGTAAAGGATGGCAGAAGACACTACACTACCCAGAATCCCCAGCTATCGTTTGGACTACACCATGTGCTCTGTTTGACAAACCCCGTTTTTTTCACTATTCATTCCAATGGCTGGCGTCTATGTCACGTGATCTTCAAATTTCTCCCTGCAGAAAAAGAAAACATGGCCGAACTTCGTTTTATTCTCGGTGGAAAATGCCAATTTTAAAGTTAGTTTGGCCATTAAAATGCGTTTTGATGTCATTTGATGCGAGAAATATGAGTTGTTATTTCAGATTATGTGTGCAGTGGATGTCCATGATCTTTAGTTTGCTAGTTATTACGAAGATTACTTCAGGAAATCGCGACGTTTTCATTGTTACCAAGGAGGTTGCTAGGGACGCTGCTATCGATATTATTTCTGTTATGTTGTGTAACTGTTTAATGGTGTTATCTTTATTGCTACCCCCTTCCCCGTCAATGTATAGTGTTGGTCCACAGCGCAAACGTATTAGTTTAACAAAATCCGCATCTAAAGATAGCCTACGTTATTTTCCCCTGTGCAATTTCAGTCTCACATCTCACAGCACATCGTCATTAACAAATACCGGAAACAGACCGAAAACTTTTTAAATAAAAATAATACTTTATTCCGAGTGTGCTTGCTTTTCTCTTTGAAAGTCATCACATAACGGCATTGTAATACACGGTTCGGCTGCATTAAATATTACATATCTGCCGTAGTTATGTATTTATAGAGTCTCCTTGCAGTATCAACACTAATTCGGCTGACTTTTATATTTGATCCAATTGGTAGATAGGCTGTATTTACACCATAAAGGTGCACAGCTGATATAAAGGGACACCTAGTGGTTAAAGCATGTTATTGAATTTCATTATTTTTATTATTAGATATTAATAGGATCCCTATAAAGTATATTCATTACTCGTTATTCTCTACTAATAGTTAATTAAAGACTGTATATAATGACTATTTTGCACATCCCTTTCAAGATTTTCTAAGGTTTATTGACATATCATATAGGCCTACACAACTATGGTGTAGTTCTGCATTGAATGAAAAACTTGGGTCGCAGGTTCCTCAATAGTGCATTACAAGACATCTATCAATATTTGTGCATACCTCCAGCAATGTTAACTATGTTGAAGCACTTATTTTAACTGATATTATACATAATGTATTATACTCTTATAAGATGTATGTAGATATTTCATCTCCGGCCTTGTCAGGTATTGAACAATCAATAAATAAAGAACACAGAATTGTTAAATATAAAACACAGAATTTGTGTGATTATACTAAATGATTTACAAATAAACACCACTGCATATTTACAACTGTTACACATGCTGATGTAACGCAAATGTTCCAACTTGGGATCAATAAAGTATATCTTATCTTAAGCTGATCGATGGCTACTGCCATATTTGCAAAATTTGCCTCTGAACCTTGACAAGTGCATGTTTCAGGCTTATCAATTAATGTAATGTAATGTAATGTTATCAATTAACAACAGGGGTCACAAACATAAGACCAGCTGTTAAATAAAGCTCTTCTGACCTTAGCTGGCATGTGTGTATATATATTAATGCTGCCCATTATGGGCACAAGCAATTTTCACCCATTTATTAATTATATGTTTTAAATTTGAGTGTTTCCTATCCCCTAAACCTCCAGGGATGTACACAGTTTAATACTGGCAACTTCTTATTATGGGAAATACGAAAACGTCTTTTAAAACTACAACTCCCAGTAGAGACGTGCCATAGATAGAGAACATGTTGCGAAACAGAATAGCCAGCATGTGTAGTTCTGGGGATGGGGTGGGGGAGGGGGGGACGCGGTGGACCCGTTCAAATCCAGTTTTGGACAGTCTGCTGTGCATGGTTCCATCCCATTTCAAGTGCTGTTCGAGAATCGGCGTAACCCTCGGAGCACACTCTCCAATCACAGAGCTTGAGGACTATCACGGGGTTTGTCAAACAGAGCACATGGTGTAGTCCAAACGATAGCTGGGGATTCTGGGTAGTGTAGTGTCTTCTGCCATCCTTTACTCAGAAAAAACATTTGTTTATCCGAATCGAAGGGGAAAAATACAAAAGCATTGCACACAATTTAAACCAATCAATGTTGTGTAATTAACAAGGATAATCTGGTGTTTTTTAGTCGATGAGTAGTGCAGATATCACTGTAAAATCAATCGACAGTAAGAGGAATACTTACTTCCGGGTGTACAATTCTCCGTTATCCAATGGGAATGAACGCTCACATTGCCTTTTAAGGGCAGCCGACACAAACGAATGCCGTGCTTCCATGAGCGTCAAATCCCGCCACAGATGGGAATACATTGCAATCAGTTGAAAGCTATTTGCGTCCCTTTATGACGCTGAAGGAGCCTAGGAGCGTCACAACTGGACGCCACGGACACTGACCAAACGTCGCTCCTGGACGCTTAGGGAGTGAGAGTGTGTTGCCAAATGATGTAAAAATATCAAATACCCACAGTTAGGCGGCTTTTTAATATTACAGCCCATGATTGTTGAACAGCCTAAGAAAGACCAGAGGACCTGGCTTTTAATTGATATGTGTACTAAATCCAAACAGTTTTCACCTTGGCCAGTATGTTTTTTCAAGTAAATTCGAACCGCACCCATTGTTGCACCACAACTATGCATCATACTTTTGAGGAAACGAAAGTGAGAGGTGTATTAAACGTAACACATTCACTTGGCTGTTTCATGTAACTGTTTTAACCAGTTTACAACCTTCTTTCTAGTGCATTATTTCTGTAACTGTAAAACATATTGATATTTCTATCAATCATTCAAACTTTATTTTATATACAGCACTTTTCATAGGTAAGGTTGGCTTATGAAAGTGTTTCAAAAGCCAAGAACAAAAATAAAAATGTTAACCAAGTAACATATAACTTTGTGATTGATGAACTTTTAAAAGCAGTAGAAGCCAATTCACACAGGACTGAATAAAACAAGAATACAATAAATAAACAATACAATAATACAATTATAATTAATACAAATTATTATTTATTATTTTTAACATACATTTTGTTTTACTTTACTGAGAAAATCATGAAACAAAAGACAACAATTTGTGATTGTTTGAAGTTACATGAGTGTGAGCTTCAAGCTGAACTTGGATTCTCACAGTCAGTTAAACTGTCACATAAATTCTGACCAAAATGAAGTATTGTTCACTTCAACATAATCTCCCTCCTCCACCTCAGCGCCCGGCGGGACCTGGTAAATCTGTAAGAAGCCGTTGTCACCCAAAAATAACCTAAGATCTCTGACAAAGTCTTTGACTACTGCATATCATCATGTCAACAATATTGTTTTTATTCCAGTTGAATTATTGTGATTGAAAAGCCAAAGGAGGCTGGTAAACATTGCAAAGAGGGATGTGCATTCCTTCATAAACTTAACCATGTTGTAGCCTAAGAAAGGCTAAACCATATCAAAGAATACATTTATTAACTACATTATCTCATTTAGCTGTAGCTTTTATAAACAACAAAAAATACGTATTGACCAGTTGTTGAACCAGGGACCCTGCGGTCATGAGTCAACTGCTTTCCAGCTGAGCCACAGCACACACACTAAATCTCACTGAAAACACTGCATCATATTTATTCCTGTATTTATTCATGTTTTTATTCCTACATCTATTTATACTTATGACATGTTCCGACCTCTATTCTTTCACACACTGTGACGTCACGAGCTACCCACAATGCAACATGCGCCATATATATATTTCAGTCAGACAACTCACGTGTTCCTTTAACATGTTTATTAGAAGCAGCATATAGTTAAGTTTGGCGACTAGGCTCGGGCATCATCACTCCATAGATATACATAGCACGATGAGTGATGATCAAATAACTAACCCCCGAGCCTACAGGTGGAAGCTGGGGTGGAAGCTGGGGTGGTGGTGGGGCAGCAAGCAGCAGCGACGTAGAGGTAGCTGCAGCAATAGCAGCA